TCAAAAGCCCGAAGGATAAAAAAAATTTCCGTGTTTACAAGCGGCGGAAAATTTCCCGTGTTGACATTGAGTTATATCAACACGGCTCTTAGCCAATCAGCGTTCAGAATTTACAAATGCTATATTATAAATATATATATATATATATAGCTTAGGTTTTTGGTTTACGAAACACAAACAGAGCTCAATACCATATCTATATACCGCAATTTTGGATAATATTGTCATTACGTAGGCGCTATATTCGCTATAAATAAGTCGAGTAGCTGAAGTGGGGTGAAGATTATTTAAACTCCTCTTGCTCTTACAATTTGTTAACATTAATTATTACAGGAAAAAGAGTGTTCGTGGAATAGCTTGACAGGCAGGAATATTTGCACTCTGCTTCTGTACCTGCCTATAACCGCTTAAAACCGGAAGGCGTACGAGCTAGTTCAGTGTGTAAACTCTTCACTCTCCCATTGCGCATGTGTTTTTTCATTAATAATATTCGATTAGTACTTCTCTGTCATCTTCAGGTATACTTTAAGAAATCGTTTACTGGTTTCATGGTTTAACACTTACTCCAGATTCGAGAAAGAGGATGCTCTTTTAGGTTTTAAAACACACATCTAAAATTTAGAATCCTTCGAACCGGATTCGAACCATGAGTGACCTAGGGAATAGGGATTATGACTGCGGCGAACAACTACAGTCCCCCGCTCTACCAACTGAGCTATCGAAGGAGATCTGGTAGCGTTATAGTTGGAGACAAATAGTTTAAAAAAGTACCATATGCGCGCATTCATATTCAAAATATGCTCCTTACCCCTTTTAATTGATGTTAATTGTCACTATAAATTGAAGCAACATGGCTGGCGGCTATATATGCTGCTTAGTTAAAGTACATGACGTCATTATACGGATAAAAAATGCTGTTCGCCAGTTCCAGCTATTTTTGCGCGTTGCCAATTATAATTATTTATTTTAACATAATATTCTGCAATTCCAAACACAACAACTGAAATATTAGAAAGGTATCTCATCTGTTTGCATGTGTGCCACACTATAGTAGCAAACTTTTGACTCGAGAATTTTGTTTTTCCTACTCTGTGTCGGTGTGTTTTGTAATATTTGGTATAGCAGCAGCAGATCGGTGGCAACACACAATTATGCATGCATGAGGGATATATTATAATTTGTGAAAAGCTGCAAAGTTACGCAAAGTTGCTTGGCAGACCGATATTATGTTCATTGCGTAATATGGCTTGTTTGGCAGTTTACAGCCAAATATTATGGAAGCAATATAACATATTTTCCCAATTTGTCACTGGCATGTGCACTGCCATGACTAGAGAGAAGGCTAGTTTTCGCTGTGCAAATCAGGAATCTGCTAAAATTAATTAGTTGAACTTGAAAAAAGGATTCAGTATACTGATCGAATAGCATAGTAAAAAGAATAGCATAGTAAAAAAACATATTCCTCCTCGGCGGGGAATCGAACCCCGGTCTCCCGCGTGACAGGCGGGGATACTCACCACTATACTACCGAGGACTACTAACGCTTGGAGTTAATATTTCACAACTGAACAAACGACAATTGATCAATGCAGCATTAGTTTCATGTAGGATGCAATCTTCATTACAACGAGTATATTCCTTATCAATAAATTAATGATATACAGCTTAATTAGGGAAGGTAAATTGTAGGCATATATTCCCATGCTTAAGAAACTAGTGTGGCCTATTAAATTAATGCAAAGGTGCATAAATTTAAGAAATTGTAGTACGGACAGGACAAAACTTAAACAAACAGAACAATAATGTTACAAACAATGTTGGCATATATTCCCATGCTTAAAAAGTAGTGCATGTGGCCGATTAAATTAATGCAAAGGTGCATAAATTTAAGAAATTGTAGTACGGTCGACAGGACAAAACTTAAACAAACACAACAATATGTTACAAACAATACTGTCAAAGCCACAAAGTCATGAATAGCTTCCGTACATGAGAATATAATTGCTGAATTCTCAACGTGGGCATCTGCAAACAGCAAGTGCTCTAGCCCCTGCCTCGTACCCAGGCGTCTCTTGGTAAAAAAACAGTGATGCGCATATGACGAGTTTACATGAAGTATTGTAGTGGGGAGAGATGGCGAAGGGGCTGATGGGAAGAGTGCACTTGAACTGCGAGACGCCTGGCAGTTCTTGGTCGATTTCTTGCAAGTTGTGCTATTTCGTTGTCGTTTACGATTTTTTGCTACTTGTTTTTGTTGGATTGACTAATGTTAATAAATAATGCCTTATAAAGTCCATGAAAATTCCAATATTAACATGTCAACAACCGAAGCGTTGAAGAACTAGACCTGCAGGAACTATAGATTTGTAAGCTATAACTATATAAAGGTACAGACTATAAAATTGCACTGTTGTAATAAATATTTCAAACTTTACGGTTGTGAACTTTTATTTACTTGGGCTTTTGTTTACAATATACATTTAATAGAAATTGCCATTGGCATTACGATCGACTGATCGAGCCTTCAGCTAAAGAAGTTATTAATACAAAAGCAATTATATGGCTTTCTAATCATTTCTCTGCTACTGTTTTATGCTAAGCAACTGATAGCATTCTATTATTCTCCATGTAATACCGACTGACATATTCGAAGTATTCGCACGGTTAACTTGCCATGTTATTTACTCATATCATTTTTCGCGCATTTTGCATGTCATCGAACATCTACAAATTTATTATTATTTGCCAATGGCGTTCAATTCAACTCTTCATCACAAAGTAAGGTTTTACACATAGAGTATATGACGATATGGTAACTTTTTGTATTAAATTCCATGTTTTTTCCGCCATGACAGTATACAAGAACTGCCAGGCGCTCCGCAGCACGCACCCTTCCCAACAACCCCTTCGCGCGTCGCCTGCCTACCTGAATACTTCATGTATTGTAATTATTTAAAGCGCCTGGGTACGAGGCAGGCTCTAGCCCATAAAATATAACCCATATTATAAAACTCTTGGGCCCCAGGGAAAATTCGCTTCGATCATACAAGTTTGCATGAAGAGAAGACGGTCAATAATGACTTTATTAATATTCAAAATGCATGAGTATAAACAAAGAATATAAAGCCATAAATAAAATTATTGGCTATAGATAAAAAATGCATGGTATTGTAAAATACCAAGCTATAATTAATGCAGCTTGTTAAGGGCCTTCAAGATCGCGCACGATAGCTTCGGTACAAATTATACTGTCCTTGCCGATTACAATGCACCGCATCGAAGGACAGCAAGCTAACATCACTATTTACATTACCGAAATCATGGTGTTCCCAAAGAAATATACGCGGCTCATTTGCCAGCACCACGCTTAAATAATGCCGTAAAATAGCAGCTTTGGAATTAAATGACGAATCAGGCGTCGCTGAATGCGGTAGGTTACGATCGATAACCAGACACACCGCAACAACCTGAACTCGTAGCTCGTCGCGAAAAAAGCGTGCAAGCTCCTCGATCTGCGAGCCAACCACCTCCGGAGGAAGAGAGCACAAATCATTAGTGCCAATTTCCAAAACTATAATATCCGGTTAAAAACTAGAGATCACAGATATATCATATTTTTTCACTTTCTCCACAGTGCGCCCGCCTGTACCCTGCATGGAAACACAGACACCTGATCCTGCCAAGTTAAAATTTCGTTTTGCGCGCGAATTGAAACCCCTATTTAAATCGTCGTGTAAGCGGCGAACAAATGAATGGCCAAATATCAAAACCTGAGCAATAAAGGCCGACATATTTCTTTAGGAAAGTCGTGAACGAAAACAAAAACAAACACACAAAACTGACGTGAGATCTTGCTCCAATGGCAGCTTCAGGTTTTGTAATGTTTGGTATAGCAGCAGCAGCAGATCGGTGGCAAAACACAATTATGCATGCAAGAGGGATATATTATAATTTGTGGAAAGCTGCTAAGTTACGCAAAATTGCTTGGCAGAGCGATATTATGTTCACTACGGAGTATCATGGCTTGTTTGGCAGTTTACAGCCAAATATTACGGAAGCAATATAATTTATTTTCCCAATTTGTCACAGGCATGTGCACTGCCATGACTGGAGAGAAGGCTACTCTGAGTAGTTTTCGCTGTGAAAATCAGGAATCGCTAAAATTTATTAATTAAACTTGAAAAAAGGATTATATCAATTGTTCTAATTGCGAGAAAAGCACGGAAAAAAGAATAGTATAGTAAAAGAACACATTCCTCCTCGGCGGGGAATCGAACCCCGGTCTCCCGCGTGACAGGCGGGGATACTCACCACTATACTACCGAGGACTACAAACGCTTGGAGTTAATATTTAACCGCTGAACAAATGACAATTGATCAATGCAGTATTAATTTCATGAAAGATGCAATCTCCATTACAACGCGTATATTCCTTATCAATAAATGAATGATATACAGCTTAATTAGGGAAAGCAAATTACGATCATAAAGATTATCCATGGTCTAAGAATAAGTGTGCGTGAAAATGTACGCACTACCTACTATCGAGAATTACTATTAGTAAATTTTAAGTAAATATATTACTTATAGACGACATTACATGGGCGGATCTTTCCTGCTGGCAGAGGTCTCTATTTGTGCTGGGAACTCGAAGGAGAAGAGATCTCTGCCTAGATCCGACACTTCCTCAGTCCATGATCGTGGACGAGTCAAACCAGTTTGTAAAACAAGTTCTGAAACCGGTTTAGAGAAACAAATAGTACGCATGCTCAGAGCTGAATTACGCTGTAATGACATTGAGCCCGTAGTGTCAAAATGGCGGCTTGGACAGCGTGGTCATTTCGAGGCTTTTCATGTTTCTGAGGTGCTCAAATTTATGTAATTGATATTTTCAAAGATGAAACTGTGAAAGCAGTGACAGAAGAACAAAAGAAAGCAATCTTTTCTGTTTTATCGGGCCGAGATACATTTGTTTACCTTCAAACTACGGTAAGTCTTTGAATTTCCAAGTTGCTCCCGCAAAAACTGGTTTGATATTACGTGATGAAAATCACTCGTTGTCATGGCAATTCTTGCACATGCGCGACAGAAAACGTGTCAGATCTAGGCAGAGGTCTCTTCTCCTTTGAGTTCCCAGCACAAATAGAGACCTCTGCCAGCAGGGAAGGGCGGATCCAGCCTTGTCTGCAGGAAGTGGTGCACGTTTTCCATGCGGTGCTATACATAAGAGAGGCTAGCTAGAGAGCCTTACCTCCCATTCTTTTCTGCAGTCTGCAACTCTACTCTCCCAACATTATCATCACTTGCATGTGCCCATATCTATATGTTAGGTATGTTTACTTTTTATATTATACAAAAATACATATATGTATGCAGTGACTTAGTGCCCATGTGACTTTAAGATTTCGATGAATATTTGCAGCGGCAGATGGTGATAGAATTAGAGCGTTAACTAAACTGAAGCAAAATGGCTGGCGGCTATATATGCTGCTTAGTTAAAGTACATGACGTCACTACACGGATAAAAAATTCTGTTCACCAGTTCCAGCTATTTTTGCGCGTTGCCAATTATAATTATTTATTTTAAAATAATCTTCTGCAGTGCCAAGTACATGCTGCAACTGGAATTGATTAGAAAAGTATCTCATCTGTTCGCAGATTTATATGCACACCAGTATTAGCGAGAATTTTGGTTTTCCTAATTTATGCCGGTCTGTTTTGTACTATAGGGTATAGCAGCAGCAGATCGGTGGCAACACACAAGTATACATGGATGAGGGATATATTCTAACTAGAAATACATGCATGCAGCAACCCCTCACTCACAATAATGCTATGTAGTCCAGTGCCAGTAATGACGACCGTTCAAGTACGACAAAAACGTAAAGCAATCGCATCAACTAGACCCAGAACGCAACAAATGCATTCTATTAACAAGTGAGATATGTTTTTTACATATATTTTTAATATTTTTTGAATTATTTCGTTACTAAATATTATAACGGTTAAAGTGCATATGACATGAATTTCTTATTTCTTAAATGAAAGAACTCTTTAAGCTGTAGTGTAACTTATTTTTCAGTTTCTTGTTTTTGCGTTTTGTTCCCGAGATATTTGAATTTGTTTGATATGTAAATGAGTGTGAATATTATGATTGTGATGTTACTCTGAGTGCATATCCACACCGGGCGAGCTTGAAAAATATAGATCGGAAGA